GTCTGTCGCTTGATCACGCTCAAAGTGTTTCGCTCTCTCCCGCGCAAATGCTTGCCTCGGCCTATTTATAGACCTCAGACCCCAGCAGTTCCAACCGCTTGGTAACCGCTCAGTAACCGCTTGGCAACCGCTCGGTAACCGCTTGGCAGTTATCCGCAACTGCTCTCTAGCACGTGCACGCATCCACTTGATGCCACTCAGCTTCATGCAATAACGGGCGCCAACCGTCTTGCTTTATCCTTGCCCAACTCCCACGCAGGTTAGAAAACCGTCAAGGCCACGTGTCCCTGGAAACCGCCCAGCCACGTGTCTTGCTTTCCTTGTTCCCACTCGGCCATGCAATTACTCGAAGGAATGATCCGCTTAGGCCACGTGGGACATAGTAACCGACTAGTCCACGTGCAACCCAACTGCCAATTCAAAAATCCAACCGTTCTCGCCAACGGCTTAGACGCGGCGCCACCCTCGCACGCGCCCATCGAGCTGCATCATCGAAGCACTCGCGTGCCCGAATACGCCTAAGTCCAACCACGCATTTGATCAATTAGCCAACACCCTCGTCCGAGTTAAACCAACGTAACCGCAAGGCCATGCACAACCCGCAGCAACCCTCGTCCGACCGAGCCCTCGACTTAACCAACAAACATGATCCGACCAACACTTGGACAATTTCAGCTAAGTAATGCACATATGTCTTCATCGCCCCACGAAGACCCGACTGAACCCGACTTTCAGCCACAAGGACGCGCCCAGCTCGCATCCTTCCCTTATTTGAACCCTCGCACCTTTGTGCTCGGATCTTTAGGACCTTGGCACTCTAAGGGATCGTGCCAAGTCCCGGGCCCCAAAGTTAGACCCGTAACACCTGGCCTAGCAAAACCCGCGATTCGATGTGGGGGCGTGCACTTCTTAGGCCTACCCCGCCCGGCCAATAGACGAGCTTTGAGGGCTACAGGGTGGCCGGTGTTGCAGCTCTATCGTTCACTATCAAACAAAAAAAAAAAGAAGTGAAAATTACCATTTTATTTCCCTTTTGTTCGTTCCCTCTTTTCTATTTTGATTTTTGACCCAATCTGAGCCCTCTTTTTGTTGCAAACCCCAAATTCTCAACCCTTTTTCACTGTCGTCCCTTCAAGGGCCAGTGGCCGAGGCGATAAATATTTGGTCCAAAAGATGCCGTCTTCTAGTAAACGCCGGCGACACCACTCCTCTGATGATTCTTCGCCGGACCCCGCTTCCGATTCCAAGCGCCGTAGCCGTAGCCGTAGCCGTCGCCGGGATCCGGAAAGCGATTCAGATGGGCCGTCCAAGCGCAGGAGTAGTAGAAGGATAACGGATGAAGAAATTGCAGAGTATATGGCTAAGAAGGCCCAGAAAAAGGTTCGTGCTTTTGCCCTAAGTTAGTTACGATTATCTCCGTGTAGGGCATTCTTTTTTTTACGCCTCGTATGCTTATGCCTCTACTTAATGTAATGACAGGCGTTGAAAGCGGCTAAGAAATTGAAGGCGCAGACTGTCTCGGGATATTCCAATGATTCGAATCCCTTTGGAGATTCTAATCTCAATGAAAAGTTAGTTGTGATAACTCTCTCTTCGTGGCTTCCGAACTTCTGCTATTTTTTTTAACTACTTTGAATATTGTTTAAACAAGGCAACATGTATTCATGTTCAGTGAGTCGCATTTGTACTTCTGATACCCGATCAACTTGCTGTTTAACAACATCATGGTATCTGTCGTAAAGAAGTATGAATTTTGTATAATCCTCTAAGTAGGAATATGCACGTCTTGTCTGTATTTGATAGACTATTGGAAAATGCAATGTAGTTGTCAATGCTGATGAATTCAACTTTTTGAAAATGTCAGATTTGTTTGGAGGAAGAAAATTGAGCGTGATGTTTCACAAGGCGTTCCTCTTGATGAGTTCTCCGTGAAAGCAGAGAAGAAGCGGCAGAGAGAACGAATGGTACGTTGGTTAAATTTGTTCAAGCCTTGCAGCTGTATGTAAAAGCTTTGTTCATTTTGTTTCAATTATGAACCTGGTATACTTGACTTTGGCTGTATGTAAGAGCTTTGTTCATTTCAATTCCGGACCTGGTATACTTTACTTTGGTGGAAAGAAATATAGGATAATTTGGTAGAATTCTGTCAACGTTTGCTGCAATGTTAAAGTGGTGTTGGATAATTATCATTATCCAGCCGAGCCTTAGGAATTGCTTACATTATTTAACATGTTCATAACTGTAGGTGTACCAATAGTCATTATCTTCTAGTTTTAGTTTTATGTATCTAGTATTTGATACTGGTCTGTGAAGGAAAATATATGAGTCCAAAATCATATTCGGGTCGAATAAGATCCTAGCTAATTAATCGAATCGAATAAAGGTGGAAGTTTGGGATTTCAAAAACCTCAATTATGATACAAGAGTATACTATATGATATTAAATTTATATTTATATCTAAAACAAAGGAAAATATCTTTAATTGTTTTATTTTCTTTGGTCTGACTGTTGATCGCTCACCTCCTTATTCGATAATCCTTTTGGTCATCACCGTTTACAACCTCGAATAGACACCATGATCTTCATATCTGATATTCCCATTTCCTGGCTATGTTTAGACACCATAAAAATAATTCTAAAGGTCAACGCATGCGATCTTGGAAGTAAGTTAATTGAATGGAATAGGTATTTTAAGTAATAAAATTTGATCACCAAATAATGAATATTGAATACTATATATATATATATTTTTTTTTTTTATTTTTTTATTTTTTTTATTTTTTTTTTCAGGCTGAATCGATAAACACAATTTTCAATGTTGGATAATTTATTTCATGAGATAGAATCTTGTTTTTCCAATGTATAGAATATAGTTTATCAGTTTAACTTTGATTTTGGTTCATTGCCAAGTTGAGGGGTGGCCGAAAGTCTTATCTAATGAGATGGTGGTCCTTTTTATAAGCTTTTTTTCACCTAGATTTCCTACTTATAGTCAATACCTTATTAAACTTCCCAGGTTTAACTGGATTTGAAATAATAATATGATTAATATTTAATTACAAAATAATAAATACATAAATATAATAAATGTCTTATATTTATTTAATTCTTACTACAACCAAAATTGTATAGTATTGATATTCATGGAATCTAATTACATAGGAAGGTAAACCGAGGACCATGGACTCTTATCAATTACAAACAATTTACTTAACAAGACTAAAGCAATCGATTGATATAATCATGGCTAATAGATTAATCATCCATATATTATTCGCAATTGAAGCTAGGTAATATTTTTAAATCTCTTCCATTATATCTTCTAATTCACTAGTGAGCAGTTAATTTATAATTCAAGGTTATAAAGGGATCTCAAATCAAACTGTTTCAAATTAACTAATGAGAGAATTAACTATCTACTTCTAAGTAGCAGGTAACGGATTCGATATTTATGAATTACATTGCAAATGTGATCTAAATTGCAAGTGTTGGGAATGTCGTAGGACAAGCTTAAACAACCATATTCAGAATCACAAAGAAAATATGCATTATTCTATAATTGCTTAATGTTAAGATTATCTATACATGATCATATGGTGATTTAATTTGATTTTCTATCTAGTGAACGGAAATTGCTAAGAAAATTTTGAATTGAATCAGTCCAAGTCCTATATGATCAAGTCTTGTATAAGTGCTCCTACTTGGATTTGTCGACATGATAATATTGTCTCATACATTATGCCTTAGGCCGCGTTAGTGATGTTTTAATTGAAGATCCCGTACTTTATTAATTTCATCACGGACTTTGTTTAGGCTTATTATCCATAACTCCAATACTCTTGTACGTAACACTCATATATACTAGGATTATGGCTACATCAAATAAAGTAGGGATTTTGCATTATTCATAACATGCATAGAATAAGCATACGTATTCAAATATGTCTCTTTTATTAATGATAAAAAGTAAATATAATCATTCCTTGTATATAATTGCACATTTTCCCGACTATGTGACATGTTTTTTGTGGTGCCTTGGTATATAGCCCATCTAGGTCCACATTTTATCCCCGAATTGAAGGACTTATTTTAAATATATGAAACACTTAGCTAACTTAAATTATAAATGTGTTTTAAAACTTTAATAACCTTTTTATTTCTTATTAATTTTTCATATATAATATATCAAAATAATCTCATTTTGATAATGTTCGATTTGACCTCCTTATTTCATATATATAATAATAAAATAGTTAAATATACCTTTATGAATGAATCTTAAGATTGATGGGTGTCATTTTTCATAGAAAATAATAATATAGTTTTTAAAAGGTATTAAGAATTAAAATTTATATTTTTAATTTTTTAAGTATAAATTTATCAATTAGCACATGCGTAGTTGTACACAACTAGTTGCTTTATGGGCACTATCGCCAACAATTGCACTTGTTATCGTTGCATTTTCACTTGTTCTGCCACCTGGTGGATATATTAATTTACAATTTTTTTTTTCACAGGCTGAAATCGAGAAGGTTAAAAAGAGAAGAGAAGAGCGAGCTATTGAGAAAGCACAACGTGAGGAAGAAATGGTAGGATTATTCTTACTTGGAGAAGAGAGTATTTTTTTTGTTTGATGTTGGAAGCTTAAATGGCTTGTTTTGTTTATTCTATTTTATTGTTCTTGTTGATCTTGAATCTTCCATATTTTGAATGGTAATGAACTTTATTCTGTAGGCACTTTTGGCAAGAGATCGTGCCCGAGCTGAGTTCCAAGACTGGGAGAAGAAAGAGGAAGAGGTAAATGCATGAAATATATCAACTTACGGCTATTGTTTCCTATGCAGTGTGATGTATTTATTGGATTCCCGCTCTGTGATTTGCCAAAATTAACCATTACTGACATGTAATATGTTCAATATACAGTTTCACTTTGACCAAAGCAAAGTTAGGTCAGAGATCCGGTTACGCGAAGGTCGTACCAAGCCGATTGATATACTCACTAAACATCTAGATCCTTCAGATGATTTTGAAGTAGAGATAAATGAACCGTACATGGTGTTTAAGGTATGCTCTTTTCTACACCCTATTATTTGTTCTCTATCATTATTAATTCAGATAATGCGTAAACTAATTATATTAGTTTTGCAAGTTTTTATTTGCATTTTTTTACGGAAAAATGAGTTGTGATTAATTCTCTGTCGTCTTTATTATGGGTTTGACTGAGATTTCTTTTATTTAGGGTTTGACTGTAAAAGAAATGGAAGAGCTTCATGATGACATAAAGTTGCACCTTGATCTTGACAGGGCTACTCCTACGCACATAAAATATTGGGAGGTATTACAGCTTTCTTTTTTGTTTCTTGTAATTGCACTTGTATTTTGAGGATGGAATGCCTTCTATTGTATGTTGGTTTTGTTTGTTTCGCATCTTACTAGCTGTTGCTGAATTATTTTGATTTGCTTGGAGTTCTTGATTTGCATAGTCATAGTGTAGTCTTAAGTATTATCCACAAGTTTCAACATGGAGCCTTTTTGAAATGTTTTGATGATGCCAAATGATTGACTTTGGACTACTGGTTCAAAGAAGATTAGATTTGTGAGCTTATATGCAGGTTCTTTGGCTAATACTTAATTCTTGAGGGATAAGTTTATGGTATACTTTCTGTTGTATTGATATATTTGTTAAAATTTAGCAATTGCATTGAATAATGAAATGGGATGGTTGAGCCCTCATTCTAGATGATCTGTATTGATCCATGTTCTGTTTTGTTGTTTTTATTTTCCACTTGATACTTGTCTGCTGCTAAATCATAGTTTTCCTCACATTTAAATACTTTGGGATCTCCGTTTAATTTCATTTATATGAATGGCAGGCCCTTCTAGTAGTTTCTGAATGGGAACTAGCTGAAGCTAGGAAAAAAGATGCATCAGAACGTGCCAGGGTGCGCGGGGAGCAATTACCTCCGGAGATGATTGGCCAGGAAAGAGGTTTGCATTCAAGCGTTGAAGCAGATGTTAGAAATCTTTTACAAGGAAAAACTTATGGTGAACTAGAAGCCCTGCAATCCCAGATAGAATCGCAAATGCGATCTGGGACTGCCAAGGTTGTCGAATACTGGGAGGCAATCCTCAAACGCCTCCACATATACAAAGCAAAGGTAATTTTCTCATTCTGTTCTGGTACATTTGAAAGCGCTTTGGTGCTGTGGTTTTTGACATCCAACATATGTAAATGCAGGCTTGTTTGAAAGAAATCCATGCCAAAATGCTTCGGACGCGTTTGGAGCGCTTAGAGACTACACAATCTGAAGGTGAAAATAACAAGGACGAATTGACACAAGAACTTGATGAGAAGGATTCTGATCAAGAAATAGAGGGTATGTACTATTTGAATTCTCGTGATATTTGCCTTCCAAAGATTTGTGGACACAGTTTACTGATACTCCTTGAGTATGTAGGATCGATTTCTCCAATGCCTTTAATGGAAGCAGAGGTCTCTGATGAAGAAGAATTAGTTGGATCATATTCTCCACTGCAGCTGCATGGTGATGAAAATGAAGAAAATGCAATTGACCCTGAAGAGGACAAGGCTATTTTGGTAAGTTGAAGCTAGAGCTTCACTCACTTGTCAATATTCATCTTAACGAGCAGTGATGAATTTCTGGAAAGTAGTGGATTTGCTATTTAATTTCCCTTCACTGGAGATAACATTTAGTGAAACACCCCTAACCCTGACATGCTGCATCCATTCGTGACTCATGCTGGGACGTGTTGGTGCATTTGGTCATTCTTTCATACATGTTCCTTTATGAAACATCTATACTTTCTTTGTCCTTTTCTCATAATGCATGCTCATTATGCTTCATTATTTGGATTATTATAACGGATTGTGATATATTAGACAGTTTTGCTAATCAATGAATAAGATGGGGACGTATCAATTAAGGCAATTTTGTCTTTGGTGACACTGGTGTTCAACAACTCCCATAGTGGATTGACTCGAAGCTCGCATGGTTCTGTGCAAACCAGTATTTCAGTCTTTCCTAACTATATGCTTAGAAAATAATCCAGATTATAGGATAAATATATTAAGATCATTTTGTGCTAGTTTAACAATGTTGGAGATGTTTATTCTGTAATTTCATCAACTAGAATTATTACAGATCCAGGTTCTCACAGTTCTGTGAAGTTTTGGTGCTCCAACGTATTCTTTCTAATCTGTCTCAGAATTCTCTACTTGTTAACTATTGCTCTGCTATCGATTGGTTTTATGAATTCCTAATCCAAGAAAAGGATTTGTTAAAAAGTTCATTGTGGAGACATGACCCCCATATGTTCGTTGGTCAGTAACTAAGTTTGATCTTTGCACATTCTTGTAATAATTCACTGCGGAGGTTTTGGCAATCTGAGAGATTCTGGAGCTCCATCATTTCTCATAACTATGTTATTCCTCTCCCATTTCAGTGTTTTATACATTCCATTTTCTGTTCAGCTGAACAACCTTTTATTTTGTTGGTTAAAAAATATTCTCATCATTTCTATTTCATATGGTCAAAGTATTATTATCAGTACAAAAATGTACTAGATTTAATTTTTTGATAAATAAGCTGATTCACGTGTATTCTGTGCGCAGGAGAGGAGACGCAATGCTGTATTAGAAGAGAGACGCATTCAAGAACTTTCCTTGAGGCCAACGGCTCATCCTGAAGATAACTTTGAGAAAAGTGCTATGAAATCCATGGGAGCCATGGAGGAAGGTGATGTTGTATTTGGTACAAACGATGAAATTAATCTTGATTCCCAGGTACCTGCTGTGAACCCGTGCTATTCATCCTATTGAACTATTTAGTATCTTGAAATGTGGGAGTTTATACACCGAACTGTGCTCATTAAACAGGTATATTGGTGGCATGATAAATATCGGCCAAGAAAGCCCAAGTATTTCAACCGTGTTCACACGGGCTATGAGTGGAACAAATACAACCAAACGCATTATGATCACGACAATCCACCTCCCAAAATCGTTCAGGGATACAAGTTCAACATTTTCTACCCTGATCTGGTTGACAAGTCCAAAGCTCCTACTTACACCATTGAGAAGGATGGGGATAGTTCAGAGACTTGCATAATTAGATTCCACGCCGGGCCCCCGTATGAGGACATCGTAAGTTATCTCTGCTCTCTTTATTTATTTCCCTGCAGTTACATAAGAAACTACCTCATGAGCATAAAACTCAAGAGAAGATAATTCTTTCAAATTTACATACTTTGTTGACCTCTGTATATATTACAAATTACGTCCGTGTCAGGTAAAATACAAACTTCAAGGGGGTTGTTTATCATATACCTTCAGGGGTCTCTGTAATTTTAAGAGAAAGATATTGATGTAAAAAAGACAAAAAATTAGAATAAATGAAGAACAAGAACACCCGGTAGATGTTCTCATTCTTATATATATTATATGCGCAGGCTTTCCGCATTGTCAATAAAGAATGGGAGTACTCGCACAAAAAGGGATTTAAATGTACATTTGAGCGTGGGATATTACATGTATACTTCAACTTCAAACGCTATCGTTATCGCCGGTGATTCTTGTACAGAGTAGTGCGCTACCTTGGGAGGCCTTTTATCCCTCCGTTTGGACATAACTGTTGGCCTTTTAGTCCTGAGATTTTCAACCTCACTAAATTTTAGGCGTTTAGTAGTTATATAACTGTTGGGCAATATGAGTATTCAATCGAACTTCAAATCACTCGAAACCAATATTAACTGCTGATTGAGGCATTTCTTGGTTGGTGCTGACTAGCATGTTGTGTGGCGGTTTCATTAAATTGAGCTCCTAAAAGTTTATAGTGATAGTGTAATACTGTAAACCTCTCAGATGGTACCCTTAGTGTGATGATGGATTACTGGTATCGTGGTGTTTGGTGAAACATTAAACTTCATTTCTCATGTATGTATATTGATTAATAGTTGATTTTTCCAGTGTATTAAGGATTTTTCGAGCAGAAGTATGTATGTAAATATGTCGAATTCAACATGGACTGTTTGCTGAGTATAAGTGGCAAACTCGTATGCTTCGTAATCCTATGTGGTAAAATTACATGCTTAGTTATTATACTTGGATAGATTTTAATTTACTTTCAATCCAAAAATAATTAGGTTTGGATTATTCATAAATATGTTGATTGTTTATAGTCAGTTACATGTATTAATTGTGTACTTTAATAGAATTTCTTATTATAACTAGTGAATCGTAAATGTATTTTAAAAGTTAATAACATTTGTATTTTTATCAGTTTTTACATATATAATATATTAAATTAATTATCTCTTGATGAACTTCGATTCAACATTCATATTGTATTTGTATGTATAAAAAGATAAATTATAATTTTCTTTATAACAATAATAAAATTGTTTTTTAACATTAATTCGAAAAATAAAATTATTTATCAATTAATATATTTATATTTTAAGTAGTTATATGATATAAGATAAAAATACTATAATATAACACATATGTATGTCGCATAATTAACATGTGTGATTCTAAAATATATAATAATATATAATTTAATTTTAAAATTTAAGAATAATTTATTAATAAGTATCCGTATAATATACGATTGTTGTACCAGTAGTAAATTGATTTTGAAACGTTTATTTGTCTTAGCATCTTAATTTCTTGTTTTGAAAAAGAATTATTGAGCGGGCAATAGGTTCATTAACGTAGAGAGTATAGACGGAAAGTTTATATTAGCAATTAGCTGTAGTTAGGAGTTGGAAGTTATTTGCATTTTTGTTTAAAATCATCTCGCATTTGATTCTCTTGTGTCAATTGTTCGAATAATTTTGAAAGGAAAAGTTTGTGTTACCTAGTTTTGTCACTTTGTCATCACAGTTTTAAAGTTCGACAAGTAGTTTTTTCAAACTACATGAAATTGTCAATTTGCTTCTTGAAATTTGCAACTCTAAGATTCAAAAATTTATAACTAGTTGAATATTGAATTGAACTTGAACTTACTTTTAAGGCTTTTATTTAAATTATAAAATGAAGAAATGAAGTATGATATTTGATTTCTAGTTAGTTTATGGATTATTGAAATTACTTTAAGGCTTTTAATTTCGGACATTTCGCATAAGTCGGCCATGGCATCTTGGGTACTTCGCGTAAGTGTGTTACTCCTATATAAAGTAAATGAGGTAACCCCAAACCCTAACTTTCACTCTCTCTATTCATCTTCTCAGCTGCTGCTCATACTGAGCATAGCTCACTTCATCACTCTGATACTGACTTGAGCGTCGGAGGCTCTTCACTGGAAACACTTATGGTGTTGAGTTCTTGTAGGTGTTTGTAGCGGTTCGAAGGTGATTTGGAGACGGTTCGAGCAGATTGGAGCCTATTACCACCGGTTCACTTCAGATCTCGAAGTAGACCCATCATTATGAAAATCCAACATTTGGATATTGATAAAATAGTCAAATATCTTGATCTTTTGAGTTCCTACCGAAAATCTCACTATGAGTAAATTACTCCCTTACAAGCATGCTCAATTTCGGCTTAATCGAGCTTTAATTCTACCGAATGACCACAACAACAAACCGATTCTGATTTTGGCTCCTCGATTTTTAGGCTTTCCATGCTCAATTTCAACCAATCCCCTCATCACTTCCTCCATGGCGATTTATTGTAGATCAATCTCCCTACTGCTGAAAAACGAGGTTTCGATGATTGTGACTGATGATGTTTCAATTATTTTGAAAAATATTTTCGTTTGATTTATTATGTTGAGGGATATGTTGCGTATATATACAATATATTTTTCAGTATATGTTACCGTAAGCACAATCGGTAGTATATGTTGCGTGTATATGCAATATAAGTTCAATATATGTTTTCGTTGCCCGTGTATCGTGTGTTTCTCATCTGGCCCATGCTTCATTTGTTTATCACATACTAAAATATTTTATTCAAATAGCGATTATGATCAGTTTACGATATGTATATAATAGGTTGTATATTGAACAAAAATTCAAATATCACAATTGTGGTTACATAAAAATGATATGTAAATAAAAAATCAGGTTATATACTGAATATATACTGAATAAACGCAATACATAGTACCTATTCAAAGTACATGAGAACGAAAACCCACGATCTGCGGTTACACTTTAATACAAGTCTAACGCCCAACCGACCGAGAACCGCTTCGAGCATGCCTTCCTCGCCGGTAGAACGTCGAACCTGCACGCAACTCTTACACCGGAGGTATTTTCCGGTGAAGAGCCTCCAACGCTCAAGTCAGATCTTGAGAGAGATGAATATAAGTGTAAGTGTATATAAGTATCAGAGATTGTGTCTAAAATCAGAATTCCCGTCTGTACACGCGCAACCTAGGCGAGTCTCGTTGGTTGCCCTCCTGCTCGTCCGTACAACCGCGCGCCTCCACTATCTCTGGTGTCAGAAAACGCGTCGGATACGTCAGAGAGTGCCAGAGTTCGTTATCGTCGTGGACCACTCGTAAAGCGCCGCGTGTCCTGTCTCCACGTGCTGGAGATTCTCTTATTTATTCCAATGCTTGACCGGATCCCCAACAAATGTCGAGCTGTCCTTGAGGTATGAGACGGTCGAGCCCCTAACCACGCCCAGCTGGTACTCGTTTCCTCGACCAACCCCTCGTACAGCTGGTACATGTTTGACATCGCTGAACTTGCTTCTCTTTGTTGTCTTTCTTATTTCCTTCACTGTGGATTTTTTGTCCGGTTCGACCAAGCCACCGGTATATTCTAGCCGGTTGTCCTGACGAACCGGTTCAGTATATAATGTCCCATATCACACTTTATTTGGTAATTGAAAATACCATAATTTGATGTATATTTATAATTAATTGGAATGAAATTGGTAAAGAAACAAATAAAGTTTGCCACATGGTAAAATTATAATTTTTTCCAAATCATGTGGTATAAATAAAACTTCCCCATAGAAAAAGTAAAATAAACAAATTGCGGTGATTATGTTAGAGGAAATTGCATCCCCTACTTCCTCTTCCCTAATATATTATAAATTTACCACCATTAGTTAAATAATTATACAATCACCAAAAAAGCATAAAATATTGCTAATTTACCTAAACTTTTGTTGTTGCAGTTATATCTGATAATTAAGGAAGATTAAACCGATAAGGACGTTTCATATTCTCACGCGAGGATTCGGGAAACCAAAATATCTTGCAGAAGGAAAAAAAAACCTCTCGTCAATGGCGAAAACCAAAATCGCACGCGATCCTCGGAGAAAAACGGCGAACGACGGCGAAGAAACACCGCAGATAAGGTCAAGTTCCCGGCTTCGTAGTATCATTTCAAAATCAAAGCCCAAACTCATTTAGAAGAAGCTCGTTTTTGAGAAAAAAACGAACCCTAACCCTAATCGCAAGTCCACCGGCAACGCAAGGATGAAGAAGCAAGTTCCATCCTCTGATTCAGATGATTTCCAGTCCTACCACAGCCGTAAAAATCCAAAACACATGCGGCGGTACCCTAAATCCAAAATCCCCAATTCCACTGAGAAGGGTAATTCGTCTAACTCCGATTTTGAAGATGAAATTCCGTCGCTAGTGAAGAATATTCGAGCGAAGAGGAATCCCCGGTGGAAATTTTCAACAAAAGAAACAAAAAAAGGATTCAAAAAGAGAAAGGTGAAGTTAATCTGAACAAGAAAAGAAGAAAACCGAACCCCGACGTGCAACGTCTTCAGAAGCAGATAGTGTTTAAGGTAATTTTTTTTTTCAGTTAATTGGTGTATGTTAATGAATAATTTGTCATGGTCATCACACTGTTCGTTGAATAAATATTCTTGTTCTGTAGCCCTAAGTTGATGATTTTTTTATGTATTTGACTTTTTTTGTTATAATTTTGTCATGTTTGTCACACTGTTAGATGAAAATGACTGTAGTGTGTGCTATTTTCTTTCTTTAGTGTGCTGATCCTTTCAATCTTCCAGTTATAATGTTGTAATTCCATTGCTGCTCCTTTTTATATCTCAATTATATGATATGAATTTTGACAATTATGTGGTATATGTACATCAGACATATAACAAACATATACTCTATGGAGTGTATATCTCTGATTAGTATATTAATCATTCTGCAAAACTGTTAAGCAGACTATGAATGTTTTGAGAATTTGCAAAACTGGGTATATATTTGGTATATGTATGGGTTCTACTTTTTTCCATATTCAATTTCATCCTCTTCTCCAAGAATGAATCTTGATAATTTCACAGGACATGTAAAACTCATAAGCAGACCAGGTTTGGCTTATTATATGTCAAGTATATGGAATTGTTTTTGACAAGTATGCTGTATATTTATCACAGACATATACATTATATATACTCACTCAAGTGTAAAATTCATTAGATTCTGTGAACAATTATACGCTAGTAATAAGTTGGGAACAAGTATATGCTACTAATTTGTGGAACAATCTGTGAACAATATGATTAGTATATGTTAGTATTCTACATTATCGTGTATAAAAAATCTATTTTTTTGTTTTGATTATTTTTAGGAGTGAGAATTGCTGATCCCTCATCCAAGGGATATAAATGTGAATGTGCAAAACAGTAACGACAACAACAAAGAGAAATGCACGATAAGTGACATCAAGAAAACACTGACGAAGGAGCAATTGGAAGCTTTTAGAATGTCAGCTTTTGGGAAGTTCCTTGATCTGCCACATTGCATTGTCCAGAACCAGCTGGTAAACTACATACTTTTACGCGAGGTTCGTCAAGGTAGGACAGATGAGATCTGGTTTGACTTCGGAGGGAAATTCCTTCGATTTGGTATAGAGGAATTTGCTGTCGTGACTGGTTTAAAGTGCACTGGACTTAGTAAGAAATTGAACATTCCAAAGATTGCCAATGGTCTGCACGACAAGTATTTTGCTGGTCTTGAATTAACTCTGAGCCACATCAGGTGGCAGTTTATGAAAAAATTGTGGGCGAGCGATGAAGATGCTGTGAAATTTGCTAAGTTGCATTTCTTAGCAAATTTCCTCATGGGCTCTCAAGATGCCCTTCTCATAGACCGCTGTTTTGTTGACATGATTGACAGTCCAGAGTGTGATGATTACTCGTGGGGAACCGTTGTCTTTCAATTTACCCTACAGTACCTGAAGAAATCAATTCAAACCAGAGAGCAGATGCACATATCTGATAACGACGAGGGAAGCAACCTGTATCGGTTATATGATCTTATATTGGCTCTATAGACATGGTTTTACGAGGTTTGTGATACGGCTGGGGGTGTAGTCGTGACCAACGTGGGTGTACACGATATCCCGAGGACAATCAAGTGGGAAGTTCGTGAACCTTGTACGCGTAGTTTTGTACAGAGAACCTTTTCTAACCTTGATCACACTAAGGTAAATAATAATGTTTTAGTTTTTTTTTATCATATATCTGCCGGAATAATATATTTTTCTTTTTCCTTTCTACAGTTCAATAACATAGTTCCTACCGAGGCCGACAAACAAAATCTTTTGTTGGACTCATTATTCATAAAAAAAAATGAGTTCACCCAAAAAAATACTCCATCAAGTTCTGCACCGCAACATACCAATAAAGATTATGTTATAACCCGCCTCAACACACTAACTGCTGAAGTCCAGACCCTGAAGGAAGCATTCAATGACTTCTCGAGACGGGTTTTTGAGGAATTTGCTTTGTTTGAAGAAAAATTCTTAGTAAGTCATTATTCCTTTTTTTTTTTTTTTACTATATATGTGCTACTAATATACTATATTTGTGGTTATATACACAAGTCTTTTATTGCTTCTTTTATATGGTCAGATTATATGTGTTTTATATAGAGCACACATATATGCTGATTAGATCTCCTATAATTAATAGGTACATCTAAGCTGAATATATAGTATATGCTCAGATTATATGTGTCCATATATACCACACATATTTTTGCTTTCTAGGTTTGGCTATATAGTATATGTGTTCACATACTATATAGTGCATGTGTTCATATACTATATAGTATATGTGTTCATATATAAATATATGCTCAGATTATATGTTGTCTTTTTTTACTATATATGTGCTACTAATATACTATATCTGTGGTTATATACACAAATTTTTTATTGCTTCATTTAAATGTTAAGATTATATGAGTTCATATATACCACACATATAAACTGCTTTGATCTCCTATAATTAATAGGTACATCTAAGTTGAATATATAGTATATGCTCAGATTATATGTGTTCAGATGTACCACGCATATATTGCTTTCTATAAGAGTTTATATCTGAATGGGGGAAAAACATTGATTTTGTGATTTTTGACAAATGGATGTATGTATATCTAAGTAATATTCTGTTATTTTTGCAAAGTCCCACTGTCCCCTGCTCCTGTGCAAGTTCACTTCAATATTATCAAAGATATATTTTGGTATCTCAAAATTATATTCTAGGATAATTTTGCTAAGCCCCACTGTCCCATGTTCCTATGCAAGTCCCTATTAATATTCTTGTATATCTAAGTTACATATTCTTGTGCACATACCTATTTTTTTTACTGTGCAAGTCCCTATTAATATTCTTGTATATCTAAGTTACATATTCCTGTGCACATACCTATTTTTTTACTGTGCAAGCATGTTATGAGTATTTTTATAGTAGTTCATCAGATAATATGTGGTCATATATACCATATATATAAACATCAGAGATGTTCCTTTATATTTTAGGATATATTTAAACTTATTACATGTTCCTTGATAACTTAGGGTGTTTGAAGTGAAGAGCAATATGTCAACAAAGGGAACACGAGTGAAGATCTTGGTGGAAGTGGAATGCTTGATGATAGTATCCACATATCAGCTGGAAAGAGACGGTTTTTATATCATCCATTATATCTTTGATTATGAACAAATATATTAACAATTATATTAAAATTAGCATATACCACATTATGTAATATTTTTTTCTTTATATGTCTGTAGCCTTTTCACAAGCCATCTAATGTGAATGTTCAGACAACAAACGAGGTTTCAGTATTTTGTTTTTTCTTTTTTACTATATCATTATAGTAAAACATCTTTTTCTCTTTTTTTGTTTGATTATGAATGCCACAAAAATATCTTTTCTAAATGCAGATCACTGTCAAATCTCCTACAAGAGCATTTAGAACCAAAGTCGAAGCACTCATGAAGAGTGCAGCAGACAGAGTAAGCATATCTTGCCACAATTTATATCCATTTGTTCTGTCCTGTATCAGTAAATTTCTCAAATTTTTATTGGTTTTTTTGTATAGTTTGTACCAGTTCAAAATCCGCCTAACCCTGATATCCAGCAACCAAACCCTGATATCCAGCCACCCAATCCTGATATCCATCCACCAAACCATGATATCCATCCACCCAACCCTGATATCCATCTACCCAATCCTGATATCCATCCACCCAGCAGCCCTATCGACGACGATGACAATTTCCTCTTGATCAACACCCAGTTCATTGAGGAGGTTGACAAGACTGTCCAACAAAAATTAAGTGAAGTGCCAGAGGTCAAAGAACCGGTAACTACATATCTTTGTATTCAAATGTATATGTTAGTTATATATATATGTACAGTATTACAAATGTGGGGTTTATATATATTCGATTTAATTCAATTTCTTGCTTATATTATATACGTATATGCAGAGAGGTTTCAGTTATGAGCCACACCCCATATTCGGTTATGCATCGAATGGATCTCAGCCTTCGTTTGACGCCATAACTGTTGTTCTATCTCCGACGCCACCATCGAAGAAGACTATCCCAGAACAGGTTAATAATGTAAGTCTTACCACTTCAATTTTGTATTATATGTAATACAATTTTGTTTAACAATAATTTAATTTTTTTTATACAATTTTTATCACTATATTTCAGACTGTTGAGAAGAATGAGACCGTAAAATGAGAGAACCCACAGCTAATCAAGCAACAACAGCAGCTCCCGTTAGTTGTGTACAGTCCGAAGAAAGACGAAGTGAGACGAACCAAGAAGCCTAAGAAAACAATGGAGACCAAAATTTCCACCAAGAAACAAATAAGACTTCAGAAGTCTTGCCCATTCGATGTTGGGTTTCGCATAAATATTTCTGGGGAAGTGGACATGAAAGAATTCAGAGACTGGATTGAAGAGGGTTTGCTCAAGTCGGCTCCTTGCAAAGTCGAAAATGGGTACTACTGATTTTTTTTTCCTAGTTATATAATAAGTCTAATATAAATCAAATATAATAAAAAATAACAAAAAGTATTAATATCATCTACTGTAAATATGTCATACATATAACTTATAAACTATCATTTCGTTTTGCAGTTTGAATTACTACAAGGTCAGGAGCAAAACTTTGCCATCTCCTTTTCAATTTAACGTTGTTTCAGTGACGGACAAGAACTGGTTTTACCACATATTCGAGATAGGATGCTTCCTTGACTGCAACGTAAGTAGCATTTTTGTACAACACTTATTTATATTTTACTTGTTATATATATATATATATATATATATACATATATTTTTTTTTCATACAGTTGATCACTTTTGTTTGGTGTTATATTATAGTATATAGATATTTTATTTTTAAGTTTATCCATATGTGTTGCTTACATGTGAAATTTGTTTTATATTTTTTTCTTCAGCACATGGATTTCTTGTTCTACTACCTGAGGAAAATTGGATTTTATGCTAAATCTGCCCCAGTCAGGTATACAATGACTGATGTGTTGTTTGACCAACACATTAAGTCGTTGTACGCATTGTTTGTGTCTCAGTCTCGTAACAAGTCTGTATGCAATGTAGACGATATGTTCATTGACTACATGCTGGGATATAAGATTATATGTGGTGTTTCTTGGGCCAAGGTTGATCACGTCATGTTCCCGATGCGTTTGGAAATAAACGGTGTGGGTCATTGGATTTTGGGGGCGTTTATCTCTTGCTGACATGAAACTTCATATCTACAATTCAATTCGCACAGTAGACTGCGATGATCTTGTTATCGAGAACGTGAAGGCTTACATCTAGATTCTCCCAATTTTCCTTGGCTTGGTGAATCTTTCGAGGACCGGAGAGGCCGGAAAAGTCAATATTGAGGTGGTTATGGTTGACAATCTCCCACAACAGAACAACAGGTACTATATATGAATTTTTCAGAGTTGAAATTGCTAGTAACCTATAACACTATACACTATAACTATTACAGTTATTATTATTATTATTATTATTATTATTATTATTATTATTATTATTATTATTTTCTTACTGTTTATATTTTTACCTTGTCGATAGTGATTGTGGGGTATTCGTTGCATCGTATGCCGAACATTTCATTTCGGGTCATGAGATCACCAAGGAGAAGTTTGATGTCACTTCGTTTAGGGAGAGATACGCATATTTGCTATATAATCATGGTTGAATGTAACAAATGAATGGATACGACAGTGATGATGAATCCCCTGGCAGTGCCCCCGATGAAATTAGGTTTAGTCTTTTGAATGTGGGAAAAACATCATAGACATTTTTGAAGTATTTATGATTGATTTTCTTATGGATGTGATTGAATTTGGGAAAACATTGACTTTTGTATTTGCTGTTGCATTCTGATGGAAA